TGCATTCCGATATCATAGTTAGTAAAATAAGTTTACCTCCATAGATTGTTGCCGCTGTTTTTTTCCTTTTTGCCCTTCCTTCCCATTTTGTGGGCCCAGGCGGGGGGGTGGGGAGGGCAGGCGCCTACTGCCTCCTCTCACGGGCATAAACTGATCTAGTTAATTCCGTGACAGTAATTAAGGGTCAGATGTGTTTGTTAGAACAAAGAGCATACAAATCCTAAGGCTTGGATTTACCAGTCAGTTCAATTTTGAGGTTCCTCTCTTTAGCTTCTCTCATCAGCCACCACTCACAGCCTTAGAAGTCACTCTCACCATTTTCATAGGCATACTGGAGGGCTCAGTACCATCTAGAAAGGAAACAGACGTTAAAAAGACATTATAAAGTTCTCTTTGCTCACTTTGCATTGCTCACTATATTAACTTAGCATAAATGTTAGAGGATTTTTTCCTTTTTTGGGGGGAGAGAGAGAAGGGGGGGAAGCACTTTGTTTTTTGCTTTTTTAAAAAGGAACTATGCTTTCTTTTTTGCACCAGAATGCAATTAGCTATTGGGCATTTACTATTCCTACATATGATAATGCTAAAACCTGCATTTATGATCACCTTAGTCTCAGCAACCACTGGGAAATTCACAGCATTAGGATCATAAGGGAAAAAAAATCACTGTTGAAAGTATAATTAGCAGATAATGTCCACATGGTGATGTATGGGGGAGAGAGAGTAAGGGGGGGGAAAAAGTGGCATGAATTCCTTCTTCTCAGACTCTGCTCACAGTGATCATAGTCCAGGGAAATGCAGCAGCTCATCAAACTACAGTTACACAACTGCTTCTGATCTTTGCATTTTCACATTTCTCAGGCATACATCACCCAGCCCTACACAACTCTTACAGGGCTTGTTTTGCAAAAGCAGCATTTCAGAAAATCTCCGCGGAGAACTCATTTGCTCCTGAATGAAATCAATTTACCAACGATGCATTTCTACATCAAGGGTGGTGGGGGGAAGAGAGCGCCATCTTCGGAACGCGAGTGTAAATTTCCTTCACAAGTCTGCAGACACCAACTGTGGCATCTCTTGTGCAGCCTCGCACAGCCACAGAGCACACGTGGCGCATCTCAGTGAAGGGAGCACGGACGACGCGTTACTGCAGCATCACCGCCGCGAGAGCCCCGCACAGCCCACAGCTGCCGGCTGCCCGTCAGCTCCAACCTCCCCCTGGAGGACGTGTAACGGGGCACCGAAATTCGGCCAGGGAAAGGAGACGGGAATCAGACTAAGGACAAGAAGTGCCAAACAGAACGCCGTCCGGAGGATGCTCGCTCTCCCCTCTCCCCCCAGCTCTCCCTCCCGCCCGCGCCCACCGGCCCCTCCCACCCCGCTGCCGCTGATCCCGGCCCTCCGGCGCCGTCCCGTACGTGAGCGGCACCGACCCCGGGAGCCCCCGGACCCCACCGAGACCCGACCGCACGGCACAACCAGGAGGAGCGGACAAACCTGGCGCGCCGCCCGGCACCGCGCCGCCATCACGGCCCGCCGCCCGCCACGTGACCGCGCGACCCAGCCGTCACCCGGGCAGCGCGGCTGCGGGGTGAAGCTGGCGGCCGCCATTTTGAGAAAGGGCACGGCGAGCCCCGAGCGGCGGGGAGGCGCTGAAGAGCGGGTGAAGCCGTCGAGGAGCCACGTTGGCTGTGGGAACGCGGCCGGGCGGAGCTTCCGGCGTTCTAACGCTTCGAATTCGGTAATTGGTAAATGCTTCGTTTGCGTGTGTTGCGCACGTGCAGTTAAGTCGTGAGTCCTCGGCGCTGAGGGGTGCGGTGTTCCTGTAATAACGAAAAATGCAGCGCAGGCAAAGAAAGCGGCGGCAAGTGTATTTCTCAACTCGGGCAGCGGCACGTCGCGCTGCTGGCAGGCGCTGCTTCGGCT